CTCCACCCAGTCTGTATTTGTGCTTGAGGTTTCCTCAACCCAGGTACAGGACCTTGCGCTTGGTCTTGTTGAACTTTATGAGGTTTGCATGATGCCCTTGTCCTCTCTTTGCTTTTCCACCGTTTGGGAGGGATTTGGAAGTGGCTGGAAGTCCTCTGCCCGGAAGAGGGCTGGGCAGCTCTCATTTTCATTCAGAGTAAGTGTCAGGAACTCTTCCCTTTCCCTCTTGCAGGGCTTTAGGAAAATGTTCTGTGCAGTCAGAAGGTGCCTGAGTACTTCTCCAGGCACAGGGCAGGGAACAGCGCCGGGGTGGGGAGCAGAGTCCTACACGGGTTGTTGTTTTTTCACTGAAGACTTTGGGCAACAGAGTTTAAAAGTTAAGCAGGGCCGGGTGATTTATACTCAGAGAGCAATCCCGTTGTGCTGCTTGCAAGGTGTATGCAAAACATGGCTCCAGGTCCTGGTTCCTGCCCGTCCCTTCTGCCTGGAAATGGCGTTTATGTTGGAATGTGTGTCTAGAGATGCATTATTTGAGCTGGATGAGGTGGAATGTTCTCTGTGTGGTGGTCCACAGTCATCTGTGTGATGTTGATCCTTGGTTGTCTTCACGAGGAGCACTGCTGGGGTCAGATATATGGATATGTGACATTGGTCACTGTACAGGCTCCCTCCAGCCATGGCAGACAATCAAACAGCCAGTTTGCTAAATCCCAAAGTTTTTCCATACATTTCGGTGTAAGAGGTGAACTTTATTTTCAGACCTCTGGATGAAAGTTGGATCATCTGAATTGGCAGTGTAATTTTGTTCCAAGACCGGCACTTTTACTGTGATACTGTCCAGAAAGTAGATGTAAGAGAAGCATCTTTCCACCTCTGCAACTGCAAAGATCACAAGGGTTTCTGCTCAATCAGTATTTTGAAGCAATGTCCACAGAAAGAGCATGGTTTGCTAAAATTTGGGGGTTTCCATGGGTGCTCCATGCAGCTCAGGAGATCATGTCAATCCCAGTGGCCATGGCCCAAGTCTGAACTTAACCTTGAGGGAGGGATGAAGATAGTTCCTTTATCTGATTGCGAATGAGGAAATACATGTCTCAAAATAATGAATAGTCCCTGAAGAATATATTTTTATTAACATATGTGTGTGTGTGTGAAAGCCTCCAGTCTATAAATACACAGTAGTTTCCTCCTCAGAGTCAACAGGGAGAACATGCCAGGTCTGCAGAAGCGTTTCTGTCCCACACCACTTGTTTGCATGGGTAGGACATGACGGGGCAGGACGGCGCTGGGTCACGCCGTGCGTCAGGAGCTTGGTGAAGCAGGATGAGAAGCCAAAGATCACATTTCACTGGAAAATTTTCCTTTTCCTTATTGTTTATCGATGGGGATGATTTCAAAACCAAACCAAGTGGTAGTTAAAAGAACCCAGACCTAAAAGCACATCTCAGACCTGATGTGGGGTGATGTTAGCTGTCAACTTTGGTGGTTTGCTGTGTTATCGTTAGGGTTGCATTAATTGCAGGTGATGAAGTGGAGAGGTAGGTGTGAGGTGGTGTGTGCTGCTGCCTGTCCGGCTCGGGCAGGGAGCGTCTGCCTGTACTTGCCGCTGTTCCTGCCTGCTGGCTGCCGCACGCCTGGGTGTGTATAGGAGACTGCTGCAGCAACATAGGGAAAGATAATTATTTGTGAAGAAATCATACCCTGTTAACGAGGAACCGTGCTTAACTGCTTTCATGCTGTAATGAACGCTTGTTTGATCTTTACTGTCCCTGCCTTGGTGGCCCCAGCGTCTTCCAGAACACAGTGAGGCTGGCCCTGCGGCGAGCGTCCCTGTCTCTGCGTTGGGATCAGGCACAGCCCAGACTGCAGCAGATAAAAATATAACCCCTGGTTGGTTTTAGTCCCTGTCCCGTGCTTTAGCTGGGTGCAGAGGAGCAGGAGATCACTACCAGCTCCCTGCTGGGGGTTTCTCCAGTGCTGGGGGAAGGCTGGAGCCTCCCGAAGAGCCTCCTGCTCCTCATCCCTGGGGGTCTGTAAGCCTTGAGACCTGGCTTAGTCAGGGATCTTGCCGTGGAACACCGGAGGCTTTGGCAGCGAGCGTATTGCCAGTGTTGCCTGTTTCCCCTGTATCGCTGTTTCCATGCTGTTTGGTCCTCACTTCCTTGCATTCCTCCAGCACAGGCCACAGAGATGATGAGGGGCTGGAGCATCTGCCTGACGAGGAGAAGCTGAGAGAGCTGGGACTGTTCAGCCTGGAGAAGAGCAGCCTGAGAGGGGATCTGATCAATGTCTATAAAGAACTGAAGTGTTGGGGCCAAATGGATGGGGCCGGGCTCTTTTTGGTGGTGCCCAGTGACAGGACAAGGGGCAATGGGCACAAACTGG